GGCCGGGCCGCCGCCTGTCGTCATCCCGGGCAGGGCTCAGTCCCCCGCGCGCGCGCGCGCACCCTTCGGCCCCGCCCCAGCCAGCCTCGGCCGGGGCCCAGCCACTGCCCGCGACCAAGGAGCCTTCGTGCGGTACACTCTTCTACCAGCTCTCGGGACCAGGCGCGTCAGTCTCACACACACACACACACACACACACACACGTACACGCGCGCGCACACCCTCCTCCGGCAAAGGCTCGGCCCACTCGCTGCAATGCTATTTGGGTGGGTGCGCCTGATGGGATTCTCCCTCCTCACTAGGGCCCTTTCGCATCCCCAGAGCAAAACAGGCACTACCCTGCGCCGGACCTGGGCAGTTCTTCCCTTCCCCGGGCTTGGGCAGGGTTGCCCTGGTTCCGCGGTCTGGACGGAGAAAGGGAGGCGTTCGCTGAGCCTGTCCTTAGCGCCTGCAGCTTTACTTACACCAGTCCTTCGACCTTGGACACCTCTGTCACCTGCTTGTTCATAGCCGAGCTCACTGAGGTTCAGGGAGCTGGAGAAGAGACCCAGACCTCCGCTCTGAAAACTGCTTCTACTTGCCCATAACCCCCTTACCCTTTCCTTCTCCTTGTCCAATCGTACCCTGCCCTACCTAGGAGCAGAAACCCCTCCCTGCCGCTCAAGGCTTTGCAGAGGAGCGTACTGGAGAGGGAGCACCAGACCCCCAAGAGACATTGCCACCCTCCTTCCCAGTCCAGAGCATCCCAGCTTACAAGCTTGCAGGGCCTGTGCGGATGAACCACACGGATGATCTCCCCGGTTGGTATTAGCTCCACTTGCAGCGCCATTCTGCCCTGTGTGGAGAGCCAGCGTTCTGAGCGTTGGGGCCTCGGAGCAAAAGCTGCTGGCCTGCCTGCTGGCTCTGGCCGTTCCCAAAGCCAGGAATCTGTGGTCTCAGGCAGGGATGGCCACTTGGTTCTGCTTCAACTTCAGCCCCAGGGGATGTGGCTGGTCCAGCGCCTCAGGACACAGCTGGAGCAACCCAGGTCTGATTGGGAGGCCTCTTGGCCCGGAGGGTTGGAGCAGGAAGAGGAGGGGCTGAGGGATGGAGGAAATGCCTGTTGTCCCAGGTAACCAGAGGAGCTGATGTAGCTACCCATGGGGGACCCTGAGCTCTAGGTCAAAGGGATGGAAGCCTTTCCCCCTTTCCCATGGCTGGGCCTCTCCCACTGCCCACCGAACGTTCTCAGCTGGAGAGCACAGTGGCCACTCCCCAGGTCAGACGGGACAGCCTTTCCACAGCTGAGTGGGTCTAATTGGCACTGCCCCTCCTGCCCATTCCCCTACTGGGTTGCCTCCCACAGCAGGTGAGCCTTGAGTTTTTGAGGCCAGGGCTGCTGAGAGCTGGCCACAGGGGTTGTCAGGAGAGGCCAGAGGGTACCATGGGAAGGCCCACCTTCCCCTCTTCTGGTGTCTCAAACTCAAGATGTGAGTGGCCTCTAGCCCTGTTCATTCCTTAACTTCAACCCATACCCCAGGTGCCCTTCACTCCTAATGTTTTTTTTCCTTTTTAAATTGTTTATAAATCACAGCTGACACTTTCCTGGCCCGGGACTGAGCCCTCCAGTTTCCAGCCATTCCTTATAGGAAGTGAGAAGGGGGAAGTGGATGGGGGAAACAGACCTTTCCAGAGGGAGAGGCTGGCATGGGTAGGGCTGGAGTCCAGTGGGCCTGAACTGGCACTGATTGCTCCATGGGCAGGGACCTTCCCCCAGGCACCCTTCTCTTCCCTCCCCACAGCTTCCCCCGCCCAGGAAAGGCCAGCCAAGCTTCCTTCCTTCCTCCCGGAAGCACATCTATCCAGGGCAGGCTCATCCCCAGGCGCCACACAATGGCCCTTATCAGCTGTGGAGCCTGGCGCAGAGACCCAGCGCACACCAAGTCTCACTTATTTCCTGTTTCCACCAGCGGGTCAGGGGTGGGCCCAGAGCAGCCGTATCCTGACTGGGGCCAAGAGGAGGGAGAGCTCTCCCCTTCCCCTTTCCGCCTCTCAATCACTGCTGGCGAGAAGAGGCCCTGCAGCATGTGTGTGCACCGATTCAAGTGTAGGGAGAGGTGAGCATGTGGGGGAGAACAGGACCCCCTGGAGTCAGGAGACCTGAGACCCAGCCCCAGCTACATGAAGCAGAACGGGAGGTAGGTACAGTACTTCCATTTTATTTTATTGCAATTGTCCTAACAATAATCTTGTGGAGAGGTACATCATTCGTATTGTACAGACAACTGAGATTCCTATGTGGGGTCAGGAGGCTAGAACTCTGATTTCAACCAAGTCTCCAGACTCCAATCCTATATTTCTGGTCCTGCATGACACCACACCTGACTGTAGGGGATCATACTCCTCCTCTGAGCCTCGGTTTCCCCAACGCCAAAAGATGGGTTCTGAGCGGCAGCACCCAAGATGGCTGAGCATGTGGGAAGGAACAAAGTGAGAGGATAAGGGGTTCAGAGCTTCCGAAATGTGTTTGTTGGGGGCAGGACAGACCACCAGGGGAAACTCAGGAGGAGGGCTCTGGAGCAGCTGAGCAGAGATGGCATTCTGGACAGCTGGACCAAGAAACAAGGTTCGAGCGTAGGGTATGAGGAGGGATGACCCAGTAAGAGCACAGTAAGCACCTTTTCTGAGTTGCTAGTTCCTAGAAACCCATTCTCCTTAGCAACAGAGTAAGCACGCAACAGCACAGAAGGCAAACCCCAACTGGGCCAGAGACCTAGAGGGTCACCACCCCAGCTCATCCCTGGCCCATCAAGGTCCTATCTGCCAATCTCTGATGCAGAAAGTCTAGTCTGGATCTACAAGGCTCTTGTTCCCGGACCCCTCGGTCCCCATCATCAAGAAGTCACACACAAGCATAAAAGCTAAGCTTCTAATTATCCCGCAATGTAACAGACACAAACACAGCCAGCCATGGTTGCCAGCGGGATCACTTGGTACACATGGCTCCCAGGGTAGACTATGGACCATAGAGCGACTAGAGCCCCCCCCGGCAAGATGCAAATGGCAGGAGCAGGCACAGGCCATGTCCATAAAGCACTTAGGAGATGCCCTTCGAAGACCCGCAGGCCCAGAAACTCCAAATGTCTTCATCCTGCTCTCCCCCTGCCCTACTTCTAAGTCCCAGAGGGTCCAGAGAGGAGCAGTGCCTGGTCAATGGCTCCTGATGGTGGGGCCGATGAACTCCATCTGGCAAGGCCCATCCTGTAAAAAGTCTCCTCTCAGCCATTCCTAAGAGGGCAGGCTGGAGGCCCGGGATCTGACCCCCAGCAGCAGCTAAACTGGGGCCTTTCCAATTCTCTTGGCTCAGGCCCAGAAACTTCCTGGGTCAGATTCCATGCACATGGTAGGGAGAAGAACCCTCACTGACCTACTCGCAACTGCTACTTAAGAGCAGGGAGTCCAGACCCTCTGCTCATCCCTCCTGGGGTCCAGCTACGAGAGGCTGAGACTCCCTGGAAACCAGTGGTGCTTATGCCAGCCAGTACATGCAGCCTGACAAACGTGCATATTCTGCCTCCCTCCCAGGCACTCTGAGGCCCAAGATGGCGTGACAAGAATGCAGGCCTGTGCCAGATGGGGCACGTGCCTGGTCGGACTGCTTGGGCAGGACTGGCAGTATGCTGGGGGAAATCAAACGAGATGGAGTCTACAGGGTCCTTTCCACATCTGGTGAATTTTCTCCATCTTCAGAGTGGACAAACTAGCTGGTTCACTAAACATCTCAGCAACTAAAACATGTACTGAAGTGGCCAATTCCAGAGACCTGGACTGGACAGAGTAAGGGAGTCTGGCTAGAACGCAGTCTGGGAGGTGGGTGCTGGAAGATACTTGGCTGCCTCCTTAGGGGGCGGGGCTAGGCCCCCAGCACTCCTGGCAGCAGTAAGGCAGAGCTGGCCGCCAGCTGTGGCCTCTGCCCTGGGTTCACTCCCATCCTGGCTCAGATTCGTGGTTGAGCTTCACCCAGTGGGTCCTCCCTCAAAAAGCAGCGAAGTGGAATCTGCAGGGATAAAACAGGTGGCAGAGGAGGAAAAGCAGGCCTTTTTCCATCCCTCCCATCCCCCCATTCCCCAAGTGACAGGGCTCCACAGGTACGGGTTGGGTCCTGAGCTGTGGCTTTAGGACCAATGATAGGCTCAAGTCCTCTATGATCCCTTCCCCTACCAGCATACCTTACCTGGAAGGGTTTGCTTATCCCCACCACAGAGTTCAGATTGTTGCTGTAGTAACAGAGAAGAAACTGATCCTTCGTCTCAGGGACATCCTTGATGTCGATGTACACCTGGAGGGAGGATGGATGGGAATGAGATCAGCGCCAGGGCCCAGTGAACACGTTATCAAGCACTCTGTTCCTTCTAGGAGACAGGAGTGTTTAGGCAAGCCACCTGCTGGAGACGTACCTGGTTCAGGTTGTTGCTGAAGGAGACCTGGTTGTCCCCGACCCAGGCATAGGACACGTAGTCGTTAATGTGGCGCAGTCCCACCTGTGGGGGGGTGGGTGGGCAGTCAGTGGTTAGGGAGGCCACTGGACCTACACTAAGTCCTAAGGAGAGGACAGTCTCACTGCTGGGCCTGGCCATCATACTCTAAACCCCCTCCCACCTCACTGCTGGCCCTTATATGGGCAAGGACCCCTTGGGTGGACAAGGATGGTTCTGCCCAGCTCCCGGGAGCCCCGAGGGCAAATAAACCAGGGGCCGTTGCTGGAGGACTTTCCACCTTTCCCGCCACATCACCTTGTACAGTCCAATCCAGTCCCAGGAGCTGCAGGGAAAGCCTGGGGTTGTGGAGTAGCTGATCAACATGTCATTCTCCATGGTCCACAGGTCCTCAGACATCAGGGTGACCATTGGGGCAGACACCAATGGCTTCAGCTATACACAGATGGAGAGCATAAAAATCCCATAGCGTCAGTCCCTCCACTGGGCCCTTCTGACATGAGGCGGGAGGTGGGGGAGAGGCACCCAGAAGCAAAGAGAAAGGCCGAAGGCTTGCCAGCGGGTGGCTGGCCCTGCTAGGGAGAAGGAGGCTGAGAGTGAAGTGCGACACTGGAGCCAAGTGCTGAGAGGTGAGGATGGAAAAATGGGGGAAGTTACACAGAAGTTTAAGAAGAAGCCAGGCAACTGCTCTCAGGGCTCTGCGGTTTCTGACCCAATATCCCAAATCCAGTATTACAGGGGGATGCTCTGTGGGAACTGCTCTAAGAATGGTGTAAGAGCAGAAAACCCAGCAGGGAATGTGAAGGCTGAGGGGGCGGGCTGCAGCCCAAGGTGGCCAACACCGCCTTGGTCATAGACGGCAACAGACAAGGATGGAGGGAGCTCCTTTGCAACTTGATCCAGATAGGTCTAGGACAAATAAAAGGAAGTCCTCCTACAAACGGTAGGTAATAAGTGTAATGGAACTCATTAGCCCCAAGGGAGAGTACCAGGAGGAAATGGAAACCTACTCACAAAGGGGTCTGAACGTGTGTCTGACAGACACAGCCATCAACGGCTCCTAAGAAGAGCTGGGATACCTGACCTGAGAGGAAAAGCAATCATGTCCTGCAGGTCTCCCCTGGGGCACTGGGTGACATGAGAATCCAGGCCTGGAGGGCTTGGGGATGTGACCCCGCAGAACTGTTTCTCTGCCAAATGTCAGGCAGCTGGGAAGTTTACCTCCAAGTCAAAGGTGCCAGTGACAGGCTTGTGATCACTGATGCTGTACATCATGTGGCTGACGTAGCTCCTCAGAGACAGGCAGAAGTGGGGGGGTGGTAGTTTGGGGGTGAAGGGGCCAGCCTGGGACTGCCGCTTCAACCTCCACAGGATGCGGTCGGTCCATGCAGGTTTACGTTTCTTCTCACTAGGGTGGGGGAAGAGCAAGAAGGGGGAGAAGAGTCGGCACTAGAGCATGGCAGCAGGCAGTAGTGTCCAATAGAATCAACAGTACACTGGCCTTTGTCACACTTCGTTGGGGACCCTTTGTCTAGTTCACCTTTTTATGAATCAAATTGTGACTTAGATACATTCCTTTTTTAAGCCCTTCTTTTCTGAACAAAACCAGCAAATCAAAGAAGCTAAGGTTTGCATTTTGTATACACAATGGAACTTGAATGGGTCTTTCTTGCTTATTAAAAGTATGACCTTGGGACCAGCAGTTAGTGTAATGGCTATGTCGCTAGACTCCCATGTAGTTGACTGCAGTTTGAACAACCAGACTGGGGGGCTTAAACTCACACTGGGTGCGTGTGCACGCGTGCCCAAGATCCCGAGAGGAGAATGGAGGAGAAGGGATTGTGGCATAGCCATCCCCCCTGGGGGGTGATTTCTCGCTTTCTGTCTCTCTGTCTCTCTCTGTCTTTCTGGCGAGCGCACACACTCTATAGTAGAAACTTCGTTAAAAAAAAAAAAAACTATGACCTTAAGAAAAGGAAGAAAGTGGTGCCAACAGGTGGTGAAGTGGTTAAGGCACTGGACTCCCACATGGCTGACTGCAGTTCGAGTCCCGGACCTGGCGGATTCAAACTCACGCCGACAGGAGAACGGTGAAGGGATTGTGGCGTGGCCATCTCCTCTGACAAGTGGTTCTTTCTCTCTGTCTCTCTTTGTCTCTGGTGAGCACATGCACCCTATAGCAAAAATCTCTCTTAAAAAAGGGAAGAAAATATTTAGGGAATGCATACTATCCTATTAATATATACAAGGTATTTACGTACCTAGTAAAGATAATTTACTTTAAAAAAAAATCATCTGTAGGGAACCAGCAGTTAGCGTAATGGCTATGTCGCTGGACTCCCATGTAGTCAACCGCGGTTCGTGTCCCGGACCCGGTGGCTTAAAACTCACGCCGGGCGCATGTGCGTGCGTGCGTGCGTGCGTGCCCAAGGTCCTGAGAGGAGAATGGAGGAGAAGGGATTGCGGCATGGCCATTCCCCCTGGGGGGTGATTTCTCGCTTTCTATCTCTCTGTCTCTCTCTGTCTGGCAAGTGCACGTGCCCTATAGCAAAAACCTCTCCAAAAAAAAAAAAAATCATCTGTATTAATTTTACGTATTATTATTATTATTTAATTTGACCAGAGAAAAGACAGAGAGAGGGAAAATGAGAAAGCAAGCTGCCAGGTCTGAGACTCAAACCATGGTCAGCCTTGCGGGAGCCCAGCCCTTTAACTACTATGCTACCTACTGGCCCCAAGATCACTCACTCTTTACAAGATAGAGAAACTGAGTCTGAGAAGGGAAGTAACTTTCCCAAAGTCACATAGCTACTAAGCAGTGGCACCAGGATTCAAGACCAGGCAGCATGACCACAAAACACAAGCTTAGCCTGGTGGCCAACCCTTCTGAGGCCTCAACTTTCTCCTGTGCAAAATGCAGATAAGTAGTTACCACAATCGGGTAACACAAAAGCATATAAAATGTCCAGCACAGTGCTCGGTACCAAGTGAGCTCTCTGTGGACACTGACCATTATGAGTCCCTGCTTTCAAGAGTAAACAGAGAGAGGCCTCCACCTGATCTTCATTTCCCAGCTGCCCTGAGGAACATGAGAGGCCCCACAGTCCCTGGAAACCATGTGCTTTCTTCTTGCAGGTAACTAAAATTGCCCTAAGGCAGGCAAGTCTCTGACCTCTAGTCCAGTCCTCCCAAGGAGCTACTGGGGCGTCTCTAAGGCTGCCTGGACCCCCAGACCCCATGCTCCAAACAGAAACTGTGGGCTCCAGTTCCTGGAATCAGCAGTTGTGGTAGTGGGGAGGGCAAGACAGCTGCTGTTCTGGGTCCTCCCTCTTGGTGAACAATCCCTTTCTTGAATGAAACCAATTTGGTTTCAACCCCCATCCTACCTTACCTCCCACCCCCCTACCCCCAGATGCACCCTACCCTGGTAACCATCTCAAGCCTCTGAACCTCTGCTCAGTACTCGCTGTTGCCTGGAACACCTTTCTTCACCAGAGAGCAGCCCAGTTCCAATGCTGTCCTTGTCATATAGCCATCCCCAACCTCACCTTTCTGCTCCCAAAGACTCTGTAGCAGTGCTTACACAGTTACACTGCACTGCAACTCTGTCCTGGGCAGCACATCAGCTAGTGTGTGAACACCGGGGGCAAGGGTTGGCTCTTGGTGACTCCCATGTACCCTCAGCATTAGCACAGATCTTGGCATGCAGGTGCTCAGTAACTGCCCAAATATGAAAAAACCCAACCTCGATCTTCCTCCTCAAAAATGCCATCTAATCAGGGCCAGCAGGTGGTGTGGTGGTTAGGACACTGGACTTCCACATGGCTGACTGCCGTTTGAGTCCCACACCTGGAGGCTTGAAAATCACACCAGGCATGTGTATGCACGTCCAAAATCCTGAGAAGAGACTGAAGGAGGAGGTACTGCAGCAATCGCCATCCCCACTGGGGGTGGGCGGTGGTGGTTACTGCTCACTTTCCCTTTCTCTCTCTGAGAACACACACATCCTGTGGCAAAAAAAAAAAAAAAAAAAAACTTAAAAAAAAGAGAGCCATATATATATATATATATATTTAAATTATTATTAAATTTTATTTATTCATTCATTTATTTTTAATTTGACAGAGAGAGAGACACAGAGAGAGAGAGAGAAAGAGGGGAAGTGAGAAAGCAAGCCACCAGACCTGGGACTCGACCCATGATAAGCCATGTGGGAGTGTCCAGCTCCTTAACCACCATGCCACCTGCTGGTCCCCAGCCATATATATATATTTATGATAGAGTATGTGTGCTTCAAAGAGAGGGAGGGAGAAAGCCCCTTGATAGGGTCTCGACACATGGCAAGGCCCTTTCCTCAGCCCTCCAGCTCTTCAGGTCCTCCTTGGGTGCCTGATGTGTTTGCAGGCCAACCTGGGGATCCAGACCTGAGGTTGGCCACGTGGCTTCCAGTCTTGCCAGGCACTTGCATTATGGCTGTGTCACAGTGGAGGGGCCTATCTGTAACGTCCACTGTTATATTCTTGGTCAGTTTGAAATATTTTGCCTCCTGCTTTGTTCAATTACTGTTTCAAATAAACACTTCCACTGTACCGTCGTTTCAGCGCCAGCACGTCAGTATTCCAGCAATTGAGGAGAAAGGTGTTGTGGAGATGAACTCAGATTCTAGAATCTGAGACCAGTTGGGGGAAGGTGCTATTGTGTTCATTAAGAGTTATGAGCCCTTGGGCAAGTGACTTCACCTCTCTGAGCCTCAGTTTCTTCAACTATAAGATAGGGAGATAACACTACTTACTTCAAAGAACGACTCTGAGATTAAAGAAATTAAGGTGCGTCAAGGGAGTGGTCAAGCAGTAACTGGCTAAACCATGATCTGCTTGTCAGCTCTTTGGCTCATTTCCAACCTCTCATTCTCCGAAGAGTGTTCCGAGGACACTGGAATGTGGTATTCCCACCCGAGACTACTGACACTGACTTCTTGATTTCATTTTGGACATCCGGTGCCTAGCAATACTTAAAACTAGGTAATAACTTACACTAACATACCTTCTCCCTCTCAAAGCATTCCTGGCCCCCAACATCCCCTGGACGTTGCTGTCACACATTTGCTGTCACATCAGGACCTTCCCTAGTCCTGACCACAGCCTGTCTCTACTTTCTCCTAAGTACCTTTCAGCGCATCCCTCCTTTTCTCTCTTTCTGTGGTCTAGTCTTGGTCAATCTCTCTGTTTTTTTTTTATTTTTGGAGAGGTTTTTGCTATAGGGTGCGTGTGTTCTCCAGACAGAGACAGACAGACAGAAAGAAAGCAAGAAATCACCCCCAGGGGGGATGGCCACACTGCAATCCCTTCTCCTCTATTCTTTTCTCGGGATCTTGGGCACGCACGCACACACGCCTGGTGTGAGTTTTAAGCCACCAGGTCTGGGACGCAAACCGTGGTCAACTACATGGGAGTCTAGCGACATAGCCATTACACTAATTGCTGGTCCCCCCTGTCTTTTTTTTTTTTTTTTAAAGAATTATTTACTTAACTTCATTTGTTTATTTTAATTTTGATCAGAGAGGGTCAGTGAGAGAGGGAGGGAGAGGGGAAGTAAGAAAGCAAGCTGCCAAGTCTGGGACTCAAACTGTGGCCAGCCATGTGAGAATCCAGTGTCCTTAACCACCATGATGCCAGCCAGCCTCTACTCCCTTTTTTCAAGAAAGAGATTTTTGTTATAGGGTGTGTGTATGCACCATAGAGAGACAGAAAGCAAGAAACCACCCCCGGGGGGATGGCCATGCCACAGTCCCTCCTTCATTTTCCTCTCGGGATCTTGGGCATGCATTTGCCTAGCATGAGTCTATTTTTTTTTTTTAGAATTATTTAACTTTATTATTTAACTTGACCAAAGAGGGAGAAAGTGAGAGAGTCAAAGTGAGAAAGCAAAGCTGCCAGGTCTGGGAGTAGAACTGTGGTCAGCCACGTGGGCATCTAATGCCCTTAACCACCACACCACCCACCGGTCCCGAGTCTTTTTTTTTTAAATTATTTTATTTAACTTTATTTATTCATTTTAATTTGACCAGAGAGGAAAAGAATGAGAGAGAGAAAGAAAGTGAGAAAGCAAGTTGCCGGGTCCAGGACTTAAACCACAGTCAGCCATGTGGGAGTCCAGCACCCTTAACCACACCACTTGCCAACTCCCTCTTTTTCTTAAAAAAATTATTCTATATTATTTATTATTATATTTTTAAATAATTATTTTATTTAACTTTATTAATTCATTTTAATTTGACCAGAGAAGGACAGAGAGAGAGAGAGAGAGAAACCTGCCAGGTCCAAGACTCAAACCGCTGTCAGCCATGTGGGAGTCCAGCACCCTTAACCACCACGCCACCTGCCAGTCCCATTATTATTATTATTTTAA